GATTATTAGCAGATCTTGAAGTTGCGACACCCAAGATTAATGGTTTCTTTGCAGCAACAAAGAGAGAAGTGGCTGGTGGTAGTGCTGCCGTGTACGCGGTGGCACAATGCGCCGAAACAGTAAGTGAGAATGGTTGCCAAGATTGCTTGACAGTGGCATATGGCAACATAAAATCTTGTATACCAGCTCAACATGTACATGGTAGGGCTTTTGAGGTCGGTTGTTTCCTAAGGTACTCGGACACCTCTTTTTTTGCAGATATCCAGACAACTGATATCACACCTTTCCTTGGAGGAGGTGAGGCCAAGTTGGAGAAAATAAATATTTGACAGGCATATAAATTCATTACACATATTGCTCATTTTCATTACATCTAATTTTCTTACTAAGTACAACTATAACATAAAAACGTCGATCGTAGCTAGTTACAATCATCTCTATCCATCACAAAGTTACTCTTATGACTGCAACATAATTTTCTTTTCCGTTACAATGTATTACATTTGCAACTCACAACATCCTCTTAGTCATCCAACTAATTTTTTACCCTTGTGTTACAGGATCAACCGGAGATCGGAACAAGCATAAGTTAAATATAATTATCATAGGTAACATAACAACAGAAAAACTAATGTCTCTATGCTCCTTATATTTTTATTTGGTATTTCAGGGAAGCCAATCTTTCCATATACTACACACAATTTAAGTTAAAATGAGATAAATTATTTTAGGTTTGCCTCAACAATTGTTTGAAACAAATATACGAATAGCCAAAAACTCTCAACATCTTTACTCATCTAAAAGTCAAATTGGATGGGGTTTATTTTCATGCAGGAATCTCAGCCGGTGTGTTTGGACTTGCATTTGTTTCTGTTCTGATGATCATCTACTACCTTCAAAGAAATGACTTATTAGGTTATGCAATGGTCTTCTGGAGGAAGAAAACAATAAATGATCGAAATGTTGAGGCATTAATAAGGAACTATGGATCTCTTACTCCAAAGCAGTAAAATTATTCAGATATTCAACGAATGACCAACTCATTTAAAGACAAACTCGGTCAAGGAGGATATGGTTCAGTATACAAAGGAAAGCTATCAGAAGGTCAGCTTGTGGCAGTGAAGGTCTTGAGTGAGACAAAGGGAGACGGAGAGGAATTTATCAACGAAGTTGCTAACATTAGTAGAACTTCCCATGTCAATGTAGTCACTCTTTTGGGTTTCTGTCATGAAAGGAATAAAAGAGCTCTGGTCTATGAATTCATGAGCAATGGATCTTTGGACAAGTTCATCTCTCATAATAGATCTCTAAATTCAAACTGTTATCTAGATTGCAAAACTTTGAACCAAATTGTAGTTGGTGTTGCTCGGGGGCTAGAGTATTTACACCGAGGCTGCAACACAAGGATTGTTCATTTTGACATAAAACCTCAAAACATTCTTTTAGATGATGACTTCTGCTCGAAAATTGCCGATTTCGGCCTTGCTAAATTAGGACTAAGGAAAAAGAGTACTATGTCGATGGTCGGTGCAAGAGGAACAGTTGGGTACATTGCTCCAGAAGTAGTTTATAAGAATTTTGGAGGAGTCTCATAAATCTGATGTGTATAGCTATGGAATGATGGTTCTTAAAATGGTTGGTGAAAGAGAGGATATTGAAGTTGAAGGAGTCGATTCAAGTGAATTGTATTTTCCAGAATGCATATATATATAAGCAGTTGGAACGCAATGAGGATCTTAATGGTGTTACAACTGAGGCAGAAAAAGAAACAAGAAGAAAAATAATCATAGTGAGTTTATGGTGCATTCAGACCAATCCAGTAGATCGCCCAACAATGACTAACGTTGTAGACATGTTGGAAGGTAGCCTTCAATCCTTGCAAATTCCACCTAAACCCATCCTATTTTCTCCTCCTAGGTTGCACAAGATTTTTCTACAATATTGCATCAAAGTTCGAGCACTGACTGAAAAAACAGAAAGAGATTTCAAATTGAATGGAAGAATAATAACAATGAGATCTTTAGTTATCCTTTTTCCTTTTGATGTGCTTTTGGCTTCATATCCCATATTTTTTTTTCCTCCCTCTTTTCTTATGTTGAATGGTTGCAATAATAGAATTGTTGGCTGGATTTCTACAACAATCTTGTATATACTCATTTCTTTTTCAAGACTTCAAGTGATTTATTCCTTATTATTTTATTGAAGAGAAGTTTATTCTCATTACACTGTTTGTCTACAAAATATGTTTACGACCGTGAATATGGATGTGATTGAGTTTGATGAGGAAATGATGGAATAGATTCAAGCTGTATTCTTATACTTCGACTATTTTCTCAGAAAGTTAGGCAGTTATTAATATAAGTGGGTTTCTGGTTCATAAAGATTTGTCCTATCCTTCTTTCTATTTTTTCATCCGTCCAACCAAATAGAGGATAAGTATCAGCATTCAATGAGTAAGGTAGTGGATGCGTTATAAAAGATCCATGGATCTCTTCTAGTTCCTTCCAAGCAGGGGCGGAGCCAATTAAGGCCCAGAGGGGGCATGTGCCCCTCCTCACTTTACTCCAACCTATTATACATATGTACATTTTTTGGTATATATATATACTTACATGGTAATTTTAAACAGTGCCCCCCCTCAAATTTTCAAAATTTTCTGATTTCCTTTTGAAAAAAAAAAAATGTTACATGTATCCCTTCTTTAAGTATACAATATATTTTTCCTTTTCTAATTTTTGTTTCCTTTTTCAAAAAAATTCTTTTTTCACTTATGTATAATTATGTATTTTTCTATTTTTTTTAACTCATTTCTTTTTATCGATGACATTTGTGATTGTATTTAATTAAAATATTATTAATTAATATTTTGATTCTTATATTTGTAACTATATATTTTTTTTACAGTATTTATCTAGCATATTATTTTACAACTATTTTTTTTTTATTTGTCTTTTTTATTTTAAAAAATTATACTTCCTAGTTGTCATATTTATTAATTTTTTTTTTTCAACAAGTGCATTGTGTCTCCTCTGAAATAAAATCCTAGCTCCGCCCTGCTTCCAAGCCTCTACTTTCTTTGGAAAGGAAATCAGTTGGTCCGTTCACCACATCCTCTTCCAGTCTTATTCAAGGCATTCAGTAACAAGAAGACTGTATCCCAAAAAGATTTACTTTGTGACACAGTATAATTTCCTCTTGTAAAAATATTCCAACAGAAAATGTTTAAGACATAAAAACTAACTGGTTACTCTATCTTGTTCAAACTTCAGACTGAGTTGCATTTATCTATATAGACACCTTTACTTACATATCTTCTATTCGGCATTCCAGAATTCAGAGGATTGACTAATAAAAGCCATCAAACTATTCGGCATCACAGAATTCACAACTTCACTCAAACTTGGCGTGCCCGTGTGTCTGATTGACTAATAAATGATTTTTATTCAAAGACTAGCTTCTCCTTCAGTTCCGTGCTTTGAAAAATCAACCAAGTCAGACTCTCAGGACTGTTTCCTCACACTTACATTTTGCCTAATTTGTTGAAAATAAATTTGATTTAAGAATTTTAGTTGTAATTAATATTTTCAAGTATTTGGAATACATGATGCATGTGTGCATTTCATGTTAGTAGGGTAGTAAATGATATTAATGGAGAAGGTTATGTAAGACTACGAAATATGTGAAATAAGTCTCCTAAATATAATGTTAGTGGGAGTTATGTTACTAATGGTTATGTTAGTGGGAATAATGGGTGTAATTAGGCCTTTAAATGTAATGGTTATGCATACATATGTGAGGCCTATATAATCATGTGCTTTAGTCATTTTAGAATAAGAATAAGTTGAGATTAATTGAAATAATATACTTCATCCTCCATTTCTCTACCAAATTATAGTGAATTGTATTTGTTTGTCTAGTCCACTTATTTTCAACAAAGTGGTATTAAAATAAAGTCAGAAAGTGATATCAGAGAAAATACCAACATAATTACCGGATAAAAGTGAAAGTCATTAGTTTCCAATCTCCATCTCCTCCTTCATGTGTATTGATCGTTGTTGAAAGGTGAAAAGATACCATCATTATGTAGTAGTCGTTGACACGACACCATGCATGCTAATTTACAGAATTAAGATGAGAAATTCACTGAGAATCACTCCATCCCAACTCCTAGCTTCCACTCCAACTGCTTCTGATTATAAGTTCATTCCCAATCCAGTCGGACTCGGTCTCGGGATTGGAACCCATTGCTAACCTAATTCCTCCTGCTCTGTCTTTGTGAAAAGAGTAATACTATTTAGATTGATTCTTTTTGGTTGAGAAGAGTTTCTATTTTTTGTATGGTCAAAAAGTTTATATTTGAATTTATTTATGGACGGGTTTAGATACTCATCGGTGAGTAACTTTACCCTACTCACCCCTTATTTGTTTCAATAACAAAATAACACATCATCTTTAATAACAAAATAATCCACATCCTCTCTAAAAATTTTAGGATCAATTATTGAATAAACGTACAAGACTTTTTTTATTATTTTACTGATTTTGTTATTAAATCTAATATGTTATTTTGTTATTAAAATATGTAAAAAGTGAATAGGTAAAACTACTAACCGATAAAGAGCTAAGCATTATTCTTTATTTATTTTATGAAATGAATAAAAACTTGTTCTGTTAGACTTTTCGGAGAAAGAAATCCGTCTATTTATTTATTCTTTTTTAGTACGAAAAGAGTAAGAGATGAAGAAGTGGATAAATTTGTGGGTCCAGCAGTTTCTTTGACGGGACCCATAAATCTGTGGCCATTTATTCTTTTTTGTACGGACAATTGTGCTTTTGATTTGATGTCTAATAGATTTTGACGGGACATTGAGAAGTACAAGAAGTTGCTTAGTCATCAAATCAAAAGCACAATTGTCCGTTGGCATATTCCAATTTTGACCATACATAATGGTCCTCACAAGATAATATATATGATCTTCTATTGCATTAAAAATGGCCACAGAAATAAAAGTGCATCAAATTTTTTTATTTTTTTAGCAAACACTTGCCTCCACCAGCAGGAGAAAAATTTTGACACAGAGAGAAACACTTTTTAGAGAGAGAGAAAGATGTGTTATACTCCTAAGATGTCCTCCTTGATGCAAATAGTAATTGTTTCTTGGGTGTGGGTTGGGGTTGTGCTTGTGATTTCGGTGGTGATGATGGGGGTTCCGGAGGGGCAATCAACGCCACCGTGCGCGCAAAAGCTGGTGCCGTGTGAAGATTACGTGAACTCAACAAAGCCACCCGCTTCGTGCTGTGAGCCACTTAGAGAAGCAGTGACACAAGAGCTAGATTGTCTCTGCGATCTCTACAACACCCCTGCCTTCTTGCCCTCCATCGGCATCAACATCAACCTCACTGATATGCTTTCTCTTCCAGCCAGCTGCGGCATCCCCGTTGATATCAGCGCCTGCGTCAATGGTAAGCACATACATATACATAATGTTTCATGAATTGTGGTCTTTCAATCTCGATCTAATCTAAATTATTTTCACACAATATTGTTCGTGTTTTGCACACTTTTCCTTTAGTGATCGCAATTTTGGTTAAGTTGACATGTCTACACAGTTATGAGTGTTTACACTCTAAAGCTATGTGTATAACCATTCTCTCTCATGCCATTTTGATGGCCACTGAATATATTGTCCGCGCGCTACTCTGAACACTCAAATCTTTCTGAAAAAAAGAAAAGAAAAAAGAGGCTTATACCAACTAGACTAGAATTATGAACTAGTCTGTGAGCTTATTTATTTATTTTAGTTTTTATTTCTAATTCAACAGCTGAAAAAAGAGCCTTCAAATGAATTTATAAATATTTGTATGCTTCAGCTTTAATTAATTAATTTTTTCATTGGTAAGAAATTCAAGTATCCATTTGTTCTACTTTTGAGTTATTTGATCAGCTAAAAGTGTATGAAATTGAACTAAAGCTTACCCTTACTTTTCCTTCCAAATTTAAAATAATTTTCTAAATTATTGCCAATAAAAAAAATGCTTTGTTTGAATCTGAATTCAGCTCAACAATTTTCTTAGGGTACAACAAAATAATTAAAATTTTCTTTTCAATTGTATGAAAATTTAGTTATAGAGAGTACACTGTGCCATAATTCCAATTAGGACAATGCAAATTACATAATCGTAATGTCTCAACTCATCAGCTAAGTATCCCAACTCACACTAAGTCCATCTATTTTTTATTGTTATTATTATATTTATTTATTTTTTCCAAGGAGTTGTATATATACAGAACAGTATACATATACACATTAACTAATTATTTTTAAAATTTCATTTTTCTTTTCCAGCTACAGACCCAACTTCACCATGGTTAACACCTGCAGGTAATCACTCTTTCTTCATGTTTAATTATGTATTTGTATTGCTTGTTTGGCTCTCGTTAACATGCAAACTAAGGATCGCATTCACAATCTGGTGGACTTATTCAATATGAAGTTTACAAATAAAAGGTAAATTTCGAAAAAAATTTGATATCCCATTAATGCTCGTTGGACTACAAGACTGGTAAAGAATTTATTGTCCTACTCAATTTAACACACAGAGATCTCAAACTTATGCAAGTGAGACATTGTTCCTCACAAACAGATCGAGAGATTTATCACGGGCCATGTCCTGACATTACATATAATTACTCCTTACTTAAAAGTGATTTCTGAATCCATTTTTCTAGTTTTGATCTTTGTATTTGTAGTTTTAAGCATAATTTTTAACATAAAAACGTAAATACAAAATTAAATATCAATCACATAGTTTCTCATTTGTTATGACTGTTAGCAGAATCATCTTTATTTTAAATCCGTTCTAATGTGTTATACATTTTAGTTTAAGTATTCACATTCTCTAGTCATCCAATAATTTTTCTCTTATATTACAGGATCAAATAGAAGCCTGCTGAAGATTATAGGAGGTAACATAATAACGGAAAATTAATATGTCTTTGTGCTCCTTCGATTTTGCTCAACACTTCTGGGAAGCCAATCTTTTTATATAGTAGTATATACTGTACATACTTTTAGTTAAACTAAGCTAATTTTCTTTACTCTGCCCTAATAATTGTTTAAAGCAATCTATATTTCAGCATATAGCTCCCGGCCTCTATTTACTCAACCATAAGCTCATTTAAGATATATATGGCACGTATCTAATAAAAAATGAATATATGTCATTTCTCCACTCTTTTGATGCAGGCATCATATCCGTTGTGACTGGACTTATGTTGATCTCTGTTCTGCTGATATGGAGGAAGGAAAAAACGAATGATCCAAATATGAACAATCAAAATGTTGAGTTAGTTTTTGGGAATTATGGATCCCAAGTTCCAAAGCGGTATAATTTGTTGGAAACTAGTTGTGAAAACTAGTGTTTGTACGTGTAAATGAAACTTGTCTATGCCTGTGTGTACCACGTTAGACTGCATGTGAATTGTATATTGTGCAACATGAATATATCGTGTGAATGTTTGCATATTGTTCCATGCAGAGTTATGTATACACAATTTAAGCCATGTTGTTGATCGGTATTTTAACGTATCCTTTCATAGAAAACATGATTGATACACGTTGTCATGGTTGTCGATGTATAAACAATAGTTGTGATTGTTACAAAAAGAATTAGTCTGGATTACTACAAAAATCTTGTATATATATAGACTCATTTTTTTTTTTGCAAAGATTTTTAGTGATTTATTCCTTATTATTTTCTTGAAGAGAGAAGTTTATACTCATTACACTGTTTGCGTACAAAATATGATTACCACATTGGATTTTACATTGCCTCTCTCCAAATATGTTTACCGGGGCTCTTTGTTTCCTCTTTACAAGATGTGCCACTACCCTTTACAAGTTTCTTTTCAAGAAGTTTTATTCTGAATATTAGGTCTTCGATCTATCATATATAATAAATGTTTACCAAAAGAAACGTATTTGATTTTTTGGACAACTCAAAGTTCTTTATAAACCAGCATCTGATGTAGTTGAACCTTTGCAACAGTAATAAATCAGCTTCATAAAGCGCACAGAATCCAAAATTCATTTATGAAATTGTTAAATGTCTGTAATTTTGTACTTGGTAGCCATGATTGATATTAGCTAGAAAACAGATCATTCTAAGGGTGATTTCAAGAAAATAAGGAAAGGATGTTCCGGAACCATAAAATTTGAGCCAGCCAGCCTGTTTCGAATAGAAACGGGCATTTTTGTTAAGAACCGGACAGTCTAGCTGTGAACTTGATGGTGTAACGAAAACGCTGCTGCTATAACAACCCAAATCTGAGGGTCCGAATCATTATCCGAGTCATTTACTGAACCCGAGGTCAAATAGGGGTAACACGGTCATTTCCAAGGTCCAAATGTAAATAATACACCATACTAGTCATTATAGTACACCTTAGTATTATTGGATTGGTCGAGATTGGACAACGCAGGGAGAGAAGAATAAGTAATGAAGATACAGAACTCGGTCGACCGGTTCATGTAAACCGGTCGACGTTTGGATCATAGACATCGACTGGTTTGGGTCCTACACAGTGGCTTTGGCTATACTACCCAAAAAAATGGAGATACCGGCCAGTTGACGTCTGGGTTGCCACACGTTGACCGGTTCTCTACTGGGCATGACTCTAATGTCCTTTTTAGTGTTCGGGTCATTGGCAACTTCATTGGTTCATTTGTGAACTTACTTATTATGCAAACTTGCCCAAAAAACATGCATGAACATAAATTGAAGATATAATACATCATACATAAATGTCCATAATGAGAAATGCATAAAAGCCCCTTGGCTACCACATAGTATGTAACATTTTATTCATGAGAAATATTACAAAAAAATAATGGTTAGGATTGATATTTATATACTCTGAAACAATAAGTTACATTGCCATTTAGACAGTTACAAAATAACATGATGTTTGGCCCAAGTTTACAAAATGCCATCTAGTACAAAAGTTAGAAAAGATGCAAAAAAAAGGAATTCTTCAACTTCAACTTCAACTTCAACTACCCTATCGTTCTACCAAACACCAATTGTTGACAATCCTTTGGCTTTGCGACTCCCCATCCAACAACAATTTGACCTCAGGCTTATGCTTGATATTTGTAAAAGAATAGCAGGTAGATTAGACAACACTCATCAAATGCTCCAGCCCTTTCAAAGTGTGATTGCTTTTACTTCTATTCTTCAATCGTTTGAATTCGATGTAGAAGTAGATCTGCTTTTGTCTGATCGATGTAGATACAACTGTATGATCACGATTAGGATTCAAACAACACAACTCTAAACTCAAGTGTTTATGTGTATATGTTCTAGAAAGACAAACAGTAAATTCTCTAAGAATTTCTGAGACAAAATTATTTTTAAGGCTTTTTGAGAATAACAAACTGATAATGCAAAAGCCTTAAATAAACCAATGTATATAACATGGTTTATATCGTGGTGGGTACTTTGATCTTAGATATGACAGCCTCTTACCCACAAATTTATTTGCTCTATAAAACATGCAGCGGAACCACTTCTCGGTCTTCGACAACCTGAGCAACATGGCCTCCATCTTCTTGGAAATTCGAAGCCAGCTTTCCAATAAGGAAACGCACTATGCTATCAGATCCATTCCCCTTGGTGACTTCCCTACAGTCAATATCATGGTTCAGTGCAGGAGCTACCTCTCTGCTGCTGATTGTGTCGTTTGCTTTGATACAGCGGTGACTGAGATACGTACCTGCGCGTCTTCCATCGGTGCTCATGTCACCTACGATGGCTGCTTCCTCAGGTAGCTTTCCTTTGTAAACATGCGCTCTCTTTTATTTTTCTCCTCTGGTTTCCCTTTTTTTTTTTTTAAATAATTTTTATTTCCTAATTTAAAAAAATTACATAATAGTGGACTTTTGGGAACCTATTTAAGATAATACTTTTCAAAGTCAAATCAATTTTTTATTATTATTATTATTATTATTATTTTTTTATGTAATTCCAAAATCAAATCATTGTGAAAATGGATTTGCACATTTCAAATTCTTTAAATAACATTTGTACTACCAGTGACCAATAAAAGAATTAGTACTTTGATAACCTGTTATATTATAAAATGTTAGTAAGAGTCTCACTAAGACAATCACTGATTAAAATTTACACACCTTTAGATAACAGGTTGTTGAAACATGTAGTATTACATTTGTACAAGTATCATTTTTGTACAATTCGGTACTACATTTTATACACCTGAGTACCATTTTTATAAGAGGAGGGATAATTAAGGGACTTCAGTTGTTTTATAATTTTCCCTAAATTTTTAAACAAAAAAATTACACCTTTAATAAATTGGGTAATCGTGTAAAGGAAAATTAAAATATGAAATTGTATCTTATTAATAACAAATTGAATTTAAATTCATTCATAAATAATATGTCATGTTATAAGATTGAAAATAAGTCTATATTCAAATTCATATCAGCCTAATGTAGTCCGTTTACCGGCCTAATCGTAAGTGTAACTTAACTCTGAGGTTTCCTTTTTTTCATCGCAGATTAAATTAGTGATAAAAAAATATAAACAGAAAGTTAACCGTTATCCATATCAAAAGTCAGTTGAAAAAAGTAAAATACTAAAACTAACCTTAGTTATTGTAAAATGTCCAAATGAACCTTGCTCAATTATTATATATTTTTTTAAAGGTTTAAATTTAGCCAGCATTCAATAATCAATATTACTCACTTTTTGAAAATACCACAGAATATATTAATCATAATCATAAAAATTACTCACAAATACACCGCGCCTCCACCACCACCATATCCTCTCTTTCCACCACGCCGATCTTCCCACTCTCTCTCAACTGCGCCTCTTTCTCCTCCACTCTCTCTCTCTTTAACATATATATATATATATATATATATCTACAAATCAAAAGTAGAACACCAATATAGCTCCAAGCAGAACCTTCTCCGTCCGTGGAAGCTTATGGCGTTCCATGGTCCCGTACACTTTGCAGTATACGATGGCTTGAGTCCGAGATCGGTGGGTGGGGCTAGGATTGGGATTGTGTGGATGATTTTGGAATTGATTTGCGAGGTGACGGCTTGATTTGCAAAAAAAATTCATGAATATCTTTTTTTTTTTTTTTTTTTTGGTGTCTTAAATGATCTTATAAAATTCATTAAAAAATTATTTTTATTCAATTATGTTGTAAAATTTTGCATATCAGTGCACTTTGAGCACTATGTGCATGGTTGAAAAAAATTAACCACTGCAATAATTGAATCCGTTAGATGACCGCTGGCCCGATTTAAGGCCAATTCAGTTACATTGTGACAGGTACTGCCACTGCGAACCTAATTTTCTTTCCACTCTTTGGTATTTGTGCTTTGCTGGTGTTGTTTCAACGAATCTCAAATCTAAATCCTTGGACTACAGTTATCCTAACTTGTGTCTTTGTTTAGAGCTTAAGTTCTTATATGGCAATTGGTAGCCTAACATTATTAGGTCTTGAATTCAAGCTTCCTTATCTGCAATGTTTAAACTAATATATATATATATATATATATAGCCTTCAATAAGTGATGATGAGCAAGGCACATCCTGCAAGTTTTGTGATCATTTGTTGCATGGTAGAAAGTTTCTCAATTCTCACCATTTACTTATTTTGTAAAGGTATGGGATCTACAAGTTTGATGACCAGGCAGTCCAGAGTGACGCGACTCCTCATCGGAAAATGTGGCAATCAAAGTGAATCTCAGGCAACTGCTTTTGGTGCAGCAGTAAAAGAATTGTTAGCTGATCTTAAAGTCGCGACACCCAAGATTAATGGTTCATTTGCAACAACAACGAGTGAAGTGGCTGGTGGTAGTGCAGCAGTGTACGCGGTGGCACAATGCATTAAAACATTAAATGAGAGTAGGTGCCAACATTGCTTGACAGTGGCACATGACAACTTATATTATTGTACACCAGCTGCAGATGGTAGGGCTTTTGAGGTCGGGTGTTTCCTAAGGTACTCGAAGACCCCTTTTTTCGCAGATAACCAGACAACTAATATCACCCCTTTCCTTGGAGAAGGTGAGGACTAGTTGGATAAAATAAATATTTGACGTGAGGCATATCCTTTCATTACATATATTGCGTATTTGAGGTGGGAGCTCTCTAGCTAGCTGCTTCTAATTTTCTAGTTCTCATCCATGTATTTTTTTTACTAAGTACAATTTATAACATATTGTAGATCGATTGTAGCTAGTTTTATCACAAAGTGCCTCTCGCATTATGGTCATCTGAAGATCATCTTCCTTTTCCCTTATAGTGCATTACGTACGCTTGGAACTCATAACATCCTTTTAGTCGAACTAATTTTTTACCCTAATGTTACAGGATCAGCTAGAGATGGGAACAAGCATAGGTTAAAGATTATCATAGGTAACATAATAACAGAAAAATAATGTCTCTATGCTCCTTACATTTTATTTAGCATTTCAGGAAGCCAATCTTTGCATATACGGAGCTAAATTATTATTTTACATTTGCCCCGACAATTGTTTGAAAGAAATTTACAAATGGCCATGCATAAACTCTCAGCACCTTTAATCATCTATAAGCCTAATTGAGATAGGGCTTATCTATTAAAATATTTGAATATATGACCTACCTCGACTCTTTTCATGCAGGAATCTCAGCTGGTGTGTTTGGACTAACATTTGTTTCTGTTGTGATGATCATATACTACTGTAAAGGAAATGACTTCTCAGGCAATGCAGTAAATGATCGAAATATTGAGGCAACTATAAGGAATTATGGATTTCTTACTCCAAAGTGGTACAACTATCTAGATATTAAAAGAATGACCAACTCATTCAGAAACAAACTAGGTCAAGGAGGATATGGTGTCGTACACAAAGGAAAGCTATTAGATGGTCAGCTTGTGGCAGTGAAGGTCTTGAGTGAGACTAAGGGAGACGGAAAGGAATTTATCAATGAAGTTGCTAGCATTAGTAGAACTTCACATGTCAATGTAGTCACTCTTTTGGGTTTTTGTTATGAGGGGAATAAAAGAGCTCGTCTATGAATTCATGAGCAATGGATCTTTGGACAAGTTCATCTATAATGATGGATCTGTGAATTCAATCTATCATTTGGAATGCAAAATATTGTACCAAGTTGCAGTTGGTGTTGCTCGGGGGCTAGACTAGTTACATCGAGGTTGCAACACAAGGATTATTCATTTTGATATAAAACCTCATAACATTCTTTTGGATGAAGACTTCTCTCCCAAAATCGCTGATTTCGGCCTTGCTAAATTAGGCCAGAGGAAAAAGAGTACTATGTCCATGGTGGATACAAGAGGAACTGTTGGATACATTGCTCCAGAAGTATTTTAAAGGATGTTTGGAAGGGTCTCTCATAAATCTGATATCTACAGCTACGGAATGATGATTCTTGAAATGGTTGGTGGAAGAAATGATATTGAGGCTGGAACAACGTCCTATTCAAGTCAAGTATATTTTTCGGACTGCATATATGATCAGTTACAACACGACGAGGATCTAAGACTTAATAATGTCACAACTGAAGAGGAAAAAGAATTAGCAAGGAAAATGGCCATAGTGGGTTTTTGGTGCATTCAGACCATTCCAACAGATCGCCCATCAATGAATAATGTAGTAGATATGTTGGAAGGTAGCTTTCAATCCTTGCAAATTCCATCTAAACCCATCATAGCTTCTCCTCCTACGTTAGAACAAGTAACTTCTGCATCATTTTCACAAAGTTAGAGTACTGACTAAAAAATGGGGCTTTAAAACTGAATGAAAGAAGAATAATGTAAATGAGCTCTTTTGTTGTCTTTTTTTTTTTTCCTTTTGATGTGCTTTTGGCTTAATGCTATACTCCATGTTTGTTTGTTTTTTTCCTCTTATCTTATCATGAATTGTAGCAATGGTAGAATTGCTGCTTTGTGTATTACAGTAATAATCCTATATACTCATTACATTTCAAGAATTTCAAGTGATATATGCATATTATTTTCTCATTATACTCTGTTTCATTACAAAATCCATTTACGATTGTGAATGTGGATGTGCCAGAGTTTGCAGAGAAAATAGTTGGGTCGATACAAACTGTTGAAGATGGATTCTGCGCAACCCGGATCTGATCTGACTTCCTGAATAAAGAGAAGAAAAAGTGATCCTACAAACACCGGTGTGTTATCGGTGGAATAGGCTCCGACGAACAAGTCAGTGTGAATGATAATCTCTCTGGAGAAATCAAGATATTGAGTTAGGGTTTTTTGCCTACCTCCAAACGTCGATTAGCCCTCCCTATTTATAGGACTTGGATCAGGATGTTACGTAGCGTCCACGACGTCCTTAATCCTTATCATAATCTGTTGGCCTAATCCTTAATCCTTTTAGTGTTGCTCTCAGACTTCCTTCACTTGATGATAGAGCGTCCTCCTTTTACCCAACTGAGATTTGTTTTTATGAGTCTGCTTTCATTGCCGGATTGCGTTTTCCAATCCCTCTTTTTATTAGGGAACTGTTGCGTCACCTTAATCTTGCTCCAACTCAACTCTCCCCGAATGCCTGGAAAACAATGATGGGTTGTTTAGTTCTATGGCGAGCTTGTTGTAATACCTCGCTCACTATCCAAGAGTTTCTTCATTGCTACATTCCCAAAAGGGGTGACTGGCTGTACTTCTCCCCACGGGATAGAATTCTTATCTTTGGAATTCCCCTTAAGCACAAACCATGGAAAAGCAGTTTCTTTTTCGTTTCTGGTGATGGCTGGGAGTTCTTTCCTGAAGAAAGTGCTTTCCTACGAATAGGGACTTCCATTCCTCGTGCGTGGTGTAATCAGAATTCCACCGGTGAGTTGTCTATAATGATACCCTCTTATGTTTTAAAACTCAAAGTAAATTTTGTTTGAGTTATTAACAGAGTTGTTATTCTTTCAGGCGTTAAAGAGATTGCCATTTCATCTGATGATCTCCAGCGAATAAAGGAAGCCTTTAACTACCCAGTGAGGGACTGGTCTTCACTCGTGACACCTCAGACTTTGTTTACCCATGGGATTGGTCCTCAGCCAGTTGGCAAGTCCTCTGTAACTATATCCCGAAAACTTAATAAGAGGCTTCTAGCTCAGTTCAAAGAAGGCTCAAGTGACTTCCCACCTACTTTCCCCGCCAAGAGGAAAAAAAAGAAGCCTACTATTACAGCACAAAGGGTCTTACCTGTTTCAGTTGTTTCTCCACATGAATCCGACTCGCAATTCCCTCATCAGCTTGTGGATGGGACAATGCCACTCCTTACTGAAGCAGCGGTACTCCCCTCAGATCCCTACTCTTCAGCAGCATCTGTTCTAGGCAATGTTCAACTTGCTTTTAAGAAGATAAGCGAGTCTTTGTCGAAGGAGGATATGATGTATCTGAATTCACGCCCTCCAATTGAGATTGTAGACCGACTCATGCATGATCTCGCACGGGTTAACTCTCGCACCATCCTCTGTTTTTATTTAGCTTTTCTTTTCCTCTTCATTGTAACTTTTTATTCCCACGTGCGTACAGGTGAATACACACACGTATTACTTGTCGTGTCTAGCTGTAAAAGGAGGAGAGCATTATACCAATATGTTGGGTTCTACTCGCTCCCAACACCAAGCCGATTTACAAGTGGAACGTGATAAACATGAGGTCGCTCTACAAGCAATGCGTGCTGAGTTAGAAACAGAATGAGCTTGTCATGCATCTTATGTGCAAAAACTCAACAAGGAGATGTCCCAGAAACTAATGGTGGAAAGAGCCAATGCAGTGGGTGAGTTTAAAGCCTCACCCACCTTCAAGGAGATTATGTCGAAGGCCTACTTTGACGGCTTCGAAGATTTTCGGAATCGTGCTGCTTTTGAATTTGCAGACCAAGACTTCTCTGTCATTCAACTAGATGAAGCGAGTGATTCCGAATAGGATAGATGCGTAGCCATTCATTTATTTGCTCCCATGTTTCTCTTTGTGCTTGAAACTTCTCTTTCTTTACAATCAGTTTCCATTTATATTTGTAGGGTTGATAAGTAGGAAGGACAGTTATGTTTTGCCATTGCGGCTGCCGCATTATGTTATTTTATTGACATCTTTGGTCGGCTCATCCCTTTGATAAGGAAAGTAGATTAAGATGAGTTTTACTCAGCTCGTCTATGTAATGAGGTAAGTAGATATATACGAGCTTCACTCAGCTCCTCCTTTAACAAGGGAAGTAGATTACTATGAGCTTCACTCAGCTCACCCTTTAACAAGGGAAGTAGATTGCTATGAGGTTCACCCGGCTCACCCTTTAACAAGGGAAGTAGATTATTATGAGCTTCACCCAGCTCACCCATTTAACATGAATATCTTAACATATCAAAATAATAATGAATTATTTGAAACAACTGATCTAAGTAGGGAATACTTTATTAAAGCCAAAGTTGATAACAAGGCTATTGAAGACATTCATTCGTAGAGAATGAAGTAATTATTGCAACTGGAAGTATTAACAAAAATAAATAAAAAATTGAGACTAAACTGAAATTGTTTACTGATAATATTTCTTTAGATGCTCAACATTCCATAGGTGAGGCAGTGGCTTTCCCTTTATGTCCTCCAACCAGTATGTTCCTGGTCGCTGACATCGCGTAACTTTGTAAGGCCCTTCCCATTTGGGACCTAGTTTCCCTATGGTTGAATCCTTAGTTGCCTGAGTAACTTTGCGGAGTACTAAATCTCCTACTGAGAACCTCCTAGGCTTGACCCGAGCATTATAATACTTGGAAACCTTCTGTTGATAGGTAGCCATCCTAATCTAGGCTAGGTATCTCATTTCTTCGATTAGGTCCAAGCTTACCTCCAACTCCCTTTCGTTCTGCTTGGGCTCGTAGTGCTCTGTCCTAAAGCTTGTTAGGCCAATCTCTACAGGTACTACTGCCTCACTTCCAAATGCTAAAAGAAAAAGGGTTTCCCCTGTGGGAGTCCTTGCAGTAGTACGGTAAGCCCACAGTACACTCGGCAGCTGCTCAGGCCACAGTCCCTTTGCAGCATCAAGTCGAGTCTTGATCATCTGAAGGATTGTTCTGTTAGTGATTTCGGCCTGTCCATTCGCCTAGGGATGTCCTGGCGATGAGAAATGAATTTGAATCCCGAGCTCGGAACAAAAATTTTTGAAGTCAGAGTTATCAAACTGTTTTGCATTGTATGTGACAATCATTCTAGGAATCCCAAATCTGCAAACTATTGATTTCCAAACAAACTTCCTTATATTGTTCTCTGTGATCTTGGCCAGAGGCTTAGCTTCTACCCATTTAGTGAAGTAATCAACCATAACAATGGCATACTTAGTCTGCCCTTTGCCTTTGACGAGAGGGCCAATCAAGTCCATTCCCCATTGAGCAAATGGCCATGGTCCTGACATGGGAGTCATCTCCTCTGGCGGTTGTCTCGGGGTGTTGGCAAATCGTTGACACTTGTCGCACTTTTTAACGAAGTCAAGTGCATCTTTCTGCATGGTGGGCCAATAGTATCCTTGTCGGATGGCCTTGTTGGCAAGTGACCTACCCCGAGCATGGTTTCCACAAACTCCTAGGTGGATCTCCCTCAAAATGTAGTCAGCTTCCTCGCTAGAAACGCATCGTAAATACGGCATGGAGAAGCTTCTCTTGTAGAACACCCCTTTGATAAGCGTATACCTAGCTGCCCGTATCTTGACCTTTTGAGCTTCTACTCGGTCTGTTGGTAGCACCCCATCCTTGATATATCTGATGATAGGATCTGCCCATTCCACACTCAATATCGCTTGTTGCACTTCAATTTGTCTCTCCTGAGATATAGATAGTTCATCCAAATATTCCAGTGGTATATTCTTATTGATCTCAGGTTCTAATGCAGTAGCTAGCCGGGCTAAAGCGTCTGCTTTCCCATTCTCTTCTCGTGGTATTTGATGAATTAAGAATCTTTGGAAGTGATTCTTTAATTCCTTCACCTTTTGTAGATAACTCTTCATCTTCTCGTCTCGTGCCTCATATTCCGCTTGAACTTGTCCAGCGACCAGCTGGGAGTCGGTGTACACCTTTAATTGCTCAACCCCTAGGGCATTTGCCACTTTTAATCCTGCTATCAAGGCTTCATACTCTGCTTCGTTGTTGGTTGCTTTGAAACCAAACCGAAGTGCGTACTGTATATTTTCTCCCTCTAGGGAGACAAGAGCAAGCCCGGCTCCGCTAGCCTGAGCAGTAGATGACCCATCCACGAACAAGTCCCAGACTATTTCTGGGCCCATCTGCTCACTTAAACTTGGTTCTGTCAAAAATTAGGGTTGTTTCTCCTCTTCTGGAGGGGTAAACTCAGCTAAGAAATCAGCCAACACCTGAGCCTTTACTGCTGTTCTTGGCTTATACTGAAAGTCGAACTCCCCTAACTCTACTGACCACTTCATCAGTCGGCCAGAGCTTTCTGGCTTATGTAAGACCTGTCGAAGGGGTTGATCTGTTAGGACCACTATCGTATGCGCTTGAAAGTATGGTCTCAGTTTCCTGGCGGACACAATTAAAGCAAAGGCCAACTGTTCTATCCTTGGATATCTTTCCTCCGCACCTCTAAGTGCTTTGCTCAGGAAGTATACTGGCCTTTGGACCCCTTCTTCTTCTCGTATCAGAGCTGAACTGACAGCTGTCGTGGAGACTGCAAGGTATATGTATAGTTCCTCTCCCGGTATGGTTCGAGACAGTAGTGGGGGAGAACTACGGTATTGCTTTAGTTCTTTGAATGCCTGCTCACATTCTGGGGTCCATTCAAAAGCCTTCCTTAGCACATGAAAGAAAGGTAGACACCTGTCAGTTGACCGAGAGATTAGCCTACTCAAGGCAGCAATCTTCCCTGTTAGTCGTTGTAGATCCTTGGTTGATCTTGGCGATCTCATGTCAATGACTGCTCGGATCTTCTCTGGATTGGCCTCAATTCCTCTTCTGCTTACCATATATCCCAAGAACTTTCCTGAGGAAACCCCAAAGGCACACTTGCTGGGGTTGAGTTTCATTTTATGACTCCTAAGTACCTCTAAGGTCTCCTGCAGGTCAGTCAAATGGTCTTCAGCTTTTAAGCTTTTCACCAACATGTCATCAACATATACCTCCATGTTTCTATCAATTTGATGCTTAAACATTGCATTCACTAGCCTCTGGTATGTTGCACCAACGTTCTTGAGCCCAAACGGCATTACTTTGTAACAGTACAAACCTCTATCAGTGATGAAGGCCGTTTTTTCTCTATCTGAGGTGTACATAGATATCTGGTTGTATCCAGAATATGCATCCATGAAACTTAATAGTTCGTGTCCAGCCGTTCCCTCAATGAGCATATCGATTCTTGGGAGAGGAAAGCTGTCCTTCGGGCAAGCTTTGTTAAGGTCGGTGAAATCCACACATAGCCTCCATTTTCCATTTGCCTTCTTCACTAGGACCACATTTGCCAGCCAGTCGGGGTAGTACACCTCTTGAATAAAGTTGGCTTTTAAGAGCTTTTCTACCTCTTCTGATATATCCTGATTCCTTTCTGGAGCAAAAGTCCTCCTTTTTTGTCTGACAGGTTTAAAGTCAGGATTTACATTTAGGCGGTGCTCCATGATAGTGGGGTCTATACCCGGCATGTCTTCATGTACCCATGCAAATACGTCTTGATTCTTCCTGAGGAATTGAGTAAGTTCATCTTTGATACCTGGGGGGAGTAAAGACCCTATACTCACTTTTTTTTTTGGGCTCACCAAGGATGACCTCTTCTAGCTCCTCTGTAGGTTCCGCTCTATGAAAGTCTGGTCTATCTTTCCCTTCCAGCCCTTCAATCGTAAATGCCTCTTGCGATTTTATTTTTCTGAGAGAGGCAACATAACATTCGCAAGCCATTGTTTGGTCCCCTCTTATCTCTCCCATACCATATTCAGTTGGGAAACGCATCAGGAGATGGTAAGTGGACGTGATTGCTTTTATAGCATTCAATGTCGTTCTCCCCAGGATAATATTATATGATGATGGGCAGTCCACCACTACAAAGTCCACCATTACAGTGACCTGTTTTGGATTGGCTCCTGCAGTAACTGGAAGGGTAACTGCCCCCAGTGGATATACTTTATCGCCTGAAAATCCCACCAGTGGTGACTTCATGGGTCGGAGCTTCTCTCGGCCAATTTTTAATTTCTCGTACGCCCTAAGAAATAGTATGTCAGCCGAGCTACCATTGTCTATTAGTATTCGTCGAACAGTGAAATTAGCAACGACCATGGAAACTACCAGAGGGTCATCATGGGGCTGGTGAATTCCCTTGTCATCTTCTTCAGAAAAGTTTATGACCGGCTCCTCAACTCGAGGTAATTTGGTTGGAGGACTTGTCATTCCAACTTCATTCACCTCTGAAAAACTCCGAATTCTCCTAGCATGAGCCTTCCGAGCTGAACTCGTCTCACCACCACCAGCGAAGCCACCCGATATAACTTTGATCTCACCCATTGGTTGGTGTTGAGGAGGGTGATCATCTCGGCCCTCCCGGGCTGGGTTGGAGCCTCCTTTTCCATTTCTAGTTGTGAATTTGCGTAAATGACCTTTACGAATAAGGTTCTCAATCTGGTTTTTGAGGTCGAAACAATCCTCTGTGTTATGTCCATGGTCCCGGTGAAACCTACAGTATTTATCTCGAGACCTCTTTGTTGGATCAGCTTTTAGCTTTGGTGGCCATTTCAATGATGCGTCATCTTGAATCTGCAGAAAGACTTGCTCTACAGATGTATTTAGGGGGGTATAGTTATTATACCTGCCTGGGCTCGCTGGGCGGCGAAACGATCTGTCAGCCTGGTTTGAGAATTTCTTGTACTTCAATTCCCTTTCCTCCCTAGTGCTAGGTGCTGGCCTCTTCTTATCCGACCTCTTATCTTCATCATCTTTGTTTTTTCGTGCATTCATAGCATCGTCAGAGTTCATGTGCTTCCGCGCTCTAACCATCAACTCTGTCATGCTTGTAGGGGCTTCATTTGATAAGGAAAATAAGAACTTAGAAGTCTGTAGTCCTCCCATAAAGGCTGTGAGGGCAACCTTGTCGTCCACCTCTTCAACTTGCAGCATTTCAGTGTTAAAACGACTTATGTAATCACGAAGGGACTCTCCCTTCTGCTGCTTCACATTAAGTAAATGTGTTGCTGGTCTCCTATGCTTCTGCCCAGTGATGAAGTGTCTAATGAATTATTTGCTCAACTCTTCAAAGTTTTCAATGGAGCCTGGCTTTAATTTATTGAACCAGAGACGAGCCCAACCCTTGAGTGTGGTAGGGAAAGCCCTGCACATAATCTCGTCCGGTACGGCTTGCAAATACATAAGAGCTTTGTAGGTCTCCAAATGGTCGAGAGGGTCCCGCGTCCCATCGAAGCTCTCAAGAGTTGGCATCTTGAATTTGCTAGGTAAAGGACAACTCATAACAGCTGGGCTAAAAGCTAGGTTAGTCTTTTGTACCATATCGTTCACTGCAGCCTGGCCCTTCCCTTTCATCGCTTGCATGACATCGTCAACCTTGGCTTTCAGATCCTGCAACTCTAGATCGAACTGAGTGGCGTCCTCAGTCTTGTCTCCAACATAACTAGAAGTATCTCCACGGAGCCTGGTGGTATTCCGTTCAGGGGACCGATGGTGATGGCTCCTCTGTTGACCCCCTATTTGACTAAGCTCAACATCGTTGTTAACCCTACGGGAGTCATCGTTGGGTACTTAACTGTTTCTCTCCTCGTTGGGGGCGGCTAAGCGTTGCAGAATCATCGCATTTTGCTGGACTAACTGGTTCACCAGTTGTTCCAATGCTGTGACGCGTTCCTGATCATTTGGGACGACGGGGGGTTGCCCCATTGAAGTCCCTGCATCAGAAGCTTGCAACCCTTCGCCCTTGCCAGCAGCCAGACCAGATCGCAATAGAACCATGCTTTGTTTAGAGAACAAAAATAAGTTCCCACAGACGGCGCCAACTGTTGAAGATGGATTCTGCGCAACCCAGATCTGATCTGACTTCCTGAATAAAGAGAAGAAGAAGTGATCCTACAAACACCGGTGTGTTACCGGTGGAATAGGCTCCGACGAACAAGTCAGTGTGAATGATAATCTCTCTGGAGAAATCGAGATATTGAGTTAGGGTTTTTTGCCTACCTCCAAACGTCGATTAGCCCTCCCTATTTATAGGACTTGGATCAGGATGTTACGTAGCGTCCACGTCGTCCTTAATCCTTATCATAATCTGTTGGCCTAAACCTTATCGTATTCTGCAATTCTTAGCGTAATCTGTAACCTTTATCTTAGTCGTAGTCCTTATCTTAGTCTGTAGAGCCTATCTCAATCTTATGAGATAGCGCATTACTTTAACGATCTTCCCCTATCCACGGGTAATTAAATTATAATCATCACAAACTGTATTCTTATGCGACAGAATCCATTATGCTCATTCTAGCTAGGACAACTTTTAGCCCCAGCCTAATTAAAACTTGGGAATGAAATCACGTTCCTGACCTGAGTTCTTCATATGTTCAAGCGAAGTTCAAACACTAAAATTGGGACTTAACTTGAGTTTGCACTCAAGCAGTTGAAAGTGAGACTTGATTTGGTTCAATTACATTCTAATTAGGGGTATGAGGATAGTGAGTTTGTGGTGCACTAAGACCAATCCAGTAGATCGTCCATCAATGACTTCTGTGGTGGAAATGTTAGAAGGAAGCCTTCAATCCTTGCAAGTTCAAACTAAACCCATCTTATCTTCTCCTCCCAGATTGCCACACGTTTCTTCTACATTAGTACCACAAAGTTCGAGGATTGAATGAAAGAAAAGGTTTTTTTCAAATTGAATGGAAGAAGAATATCAATGAGCTCGTCGATTATTTTCTTCTTTTTGATGTGTTTTTGGCTTGATACTAGTACACCATGTTGTATATGTTTTTTTTCTCATTTTATCTTGAATTGTAGCAGAAGAATAATTGTTCTCTGGCTTATCAAGAATTTCAAGTGATTTTTGCCTAATTATTTTTCATTATACTCTGTTTGCTTGCAAAATCCATTTTGATTATAAACATAGATGTGGTATCAGAGTTTGTTGAAAATTAATAGAATCGATGCAATAGTATTGCAATACTACAAAATCCAATGACCTCGCCGTAGGACAACTTTTATCCCAGCTAAATTGTTTAGGAATGAAATTACCTTCCTAACCCGCTTTCTTCATATTTTCGAGCTAGTCCCACATCAAACACTAAAATTTGGACTCGGCCCATCGTCAGTCACCTTCACCACCACCTTTAACCGTCACCACCAACACCATCACTGACAATACCACCACCTTGATGGGTAGTGTGGAGCTTGATAGATACTGTATACCAAGCCCCAACTCCGCGGATCCAACTGTTGGGAGAGATAACAATAAACAAACATAGCGAAATAACTCTTCTCCATATATGCAAGCAAATATAGTGTATCTCTACTTTTATATGTGCTAAAAATAATAGAGAAATAATCAATTACACCAAGCAACAAGAACACAAACATTTTTTTTACGTGGAAAACTTTCCCAATGTGAGGAAGAAAAAAACCACGGGACCTAGTCCAGTTGAAATCTCCACTATCAACCAAATAATGGTGCACAAAGTCTTCTCTAATCGTAATTAGAGGCTACAACACATCTCATCAAGATATCAACAATCTTGGCAAATATAAAGAGAATTGGAGAGAATACCATAAACCCGGTTACTGTTCACGAGTACAAATCACTATTCCTAAGCTCAAAATCCGATCTCCACCATTCAGATTTTAAACCATTGAGTCATGAACCTCTCCTCCAAATTTCAGCTCGATCGGACCACGGACAAAGCGGGATCAGAGGTTTGATGAAATCTGGGCAGTATATGGAAAAATTGCGTTTTTCCTCTCTCTCTCTTTTGAAAGCTACGGCTTCTGTTTTTTTTTTTTTTTTTTTTTTTTTTTTTCTCTTTTATGACTTCCTTAGGGTTATACACCCTAAAGAGCTAGGCTTTGGGCTTTAATAAAACCCACTTGGGCTTTCCTCCATATAGAAGGAAATAAACCCAACAAATCTCCCCTTTTCCGACTATGTGGAGGGAATCGCCATCCCAGCGATCGAACAACAAACTTCAAGCTTTTCTCTTGGTAGGGTCTTTATCACCATATCAGAACCATTATCATCAGTGTGAACCTTCTCAAGTTCAAGTAACTTATTGTTCAACGCATTTCTGATCCAATGGTATCGTACATCAATGTGCTTAGATCTTGCATGAAAACTGGAATTCTTAGCAAGATGAATAGCACTCTAGCTATCACAAAACAACACATGCATACCTCTGCTGCTTGAAACCAAGTTCTCTCAAGAACTTCTTTGCCTATAGCAACTCTTTAGTCGCTTCTGTTGCTGCAATAAACTCTACTTCTGTCGTAGAAAGAGCAATACACTTTTGAAGTCTCGATTGCCAACCTACAGCCCCACCTGCAAGTGATCAAATAAACCGAAGTAGACTTACGAGTATCCACATCCCCTGCCATATCTGCATCTGTGTAGCCAACTAACAATGGTTGTCTATTTCCCAAACTAAGTCTCAAACGGGAAGTGCCTCGAAGATACCTCATGATCCACTTCACTGCATTCTAATGCTATCTTCCTAGATTTGACAAGAATCGGCTAACTACACCGACTGTATGGGCTATATCTGGTCTTGTGCAAATCATTACATACATCAAACTTCCTACTACTGAGGTGTAAGGAACTCTTTCCATGTCTTCCTTTTCCTTATCTGTAGAAGGACATTGCTTTGTACTCAGTCTGAAGTGGGTAGCAAGAGAAGAGCTAACCACTTTAGTGTTGTCCATATTGAACCTCTGAAGCATTTTTTCAATGTACTCCTCTTGTGAAAAATATAACTTCTTGACACTCATGTCATGAGCCCCAAATCCTTTATAGCAAATGACTTACTCAATTGCTTCTTCAACTGGTCAATCCTTGAAGCATTCCTACCAACAATCAATATGTCATCCATATAAAGCAGTAGAATAATAAAATCATCATCAGAGAATTTTTGAACAAATACACAGTGATCAGAAGTTGTCTTCTTGTAGCCTTGCTCCCCTATAACAAACTCAAACTTCTTATACCACTGTCTCGGTGCTTGTTTCAAACCATATAGGCTTTTCTTCAGTTTGCACACATAATCCTCTTTCCCTTTCACTTTAAAACCCTCTGGCTGCTTCATATAAATCTCTTCCTCCAAATCACCATGAAGGAAGGCAGTTTTCACATCTATCTGCTTAACTTCCAAGTCAAGACTATCTGTTAGGCCGAGTTCTATACGGATCGATGACATCTTTATGATTGGAGAGAAGATCTTATCAAATTCAATACCTTTTCTCTGACCGAACCCTTTGACAACCAATCTAGCTAGCTTTGTACCGTGGCCGTGAAGAGAACCAATTTGGTTTCTTCCTGTAAATCCACTTGTTTTCCAAAGCTCTTTTTCCTTTAGGTAGCTTTACTAACTCAAATGTGTGGTTATCATGCAATGACTGTATCTCATCTTGCATAGCCTCAACCCACTTTGTCTTGTGTTCATCTTTTATGGCTTCTGCAAAACACTGGGGCTCTCCTCCGTCAGTCAATAACACATACTGCTCTGCTGAATACCAAGTGGAAGGACGTCGGTCTCTAAGAGACTTCCTGGATGGAATCTCTGGTGGAATCTTTGGCGCTGTCAACTGCTCATTAGTCTTAACATCTCCTTGAACCTATAGGGGAACATCCACATCACATGTACACTGGTGGTCATCCTGAACATCATTCTCAACCTGAGATGGCAGATTCTTCAGAGGAGCTGGATCTACATGAATCAAGATATCACCTTGCTGAGACATATATTTCCCAGCTTTCTCAATATCCTGAATTGTCTGATCTTCAACAAATACAACATCTCTGCTTTTCACAATTTTCTTCTCAACTGGATAATAAAGCTTGTGTTAACCAAGAATTGACTCTAGAAGGGGGGTGAATAGAGTCAATGGCCAATTTTCGTAATTTATAGATTTATAATTTCTAATCA